TTTTTTTTTTTTTTTTTTTTTTTTTTTTTTTTTTTTTTTTTTTTTTTTTTTTTTTTTTTTTTTTTTTAACTTTACCTAGTAGAAAAGCAAGTAGATCTTCCAGAGTGCTTGGATATCTGGAGACCTGGCTTAGCTGAGTAGACGTACAAAACCGAGCATCATAGGGAAGGATGTTCAGTAGCAGATTCCAGAGTACCACACATTTCAGGAAAGAGACGAATCTATTTTCTATGGATTGTGAAAAAGTCAACATGCGGTGAGCCTGGTTAATTCTGTGGAAAGTGTGCTGTGGGATTTTTGGATCACTTTCCTGTTGGGATAGATATCCCTGGCCAGCACTCTCCCCAGTATATTCTGAGTCTGCGCAGCTCTGGAAGATGGTGGCTTGATGGGGAAGGGGAAGACAGGCTGTCCCAGAGTCATGGCCTCACCAGGGTCCTCCTGACCAGGTCCTGCTCTCCAGACCATCAGCTGCTGTGTGTGGTGTCCCCATTCCACAAGGAGTCCGCCTGGGAGAGGCTTCCACAGAGTCAGCTCTCCCTGAAGACTTCCTCCAGCAAATGAGGAGACTCAGAACACTTTTATAACAGAATGGCTAGGAGGAAGATTCATCTTGATTCACTGATGCTAAGTTTTCACTGGAGTCACTTCATTTTTACTTAGATTTCATAAAATTTCCACTTGAAAAATTAAGATTCATAGGGCTGGGGATTTAGCTCAGCGGTTCGCTGGCCTGCCTTGCAAGCGCAAGGACCTGAGTTCAATCCCCGGTACCACAAAAAAAAAAAAAAAAAAAAAAAAAAAATTAAGATTCATGTACCCAGGTTGTTCCGATCATATGTAAGAGTCATCCAACAGCTAAGATGAGCACCAAACGCTGTAATTATTTTCTCCAACAGTTACACCCATATCGACGGGCCTGATTTACCTTTGTACAGAGTTCATTTGACTTTGATACAAAGCATTTGTTTGACACTGCCTTTGTTCAAGTTAAGTACACCGAATAATTCTGACATCAAGTCTATATTCGTATCATGACATTAATGAATAAAATTAGAGCTCCCATCACACTGGCCACACGTCAAGTACTCGATGGCCAC